TGTGAGTGTCACCTTTCTGTCCTTGGGATTAAATGACCCTATCCAAGAGTGACAGTGCAGTCTGAGAAACAAAGGAAAATATCCCTTTCACTTCTTTGCTTTGAATTAAACTGAGAATCATTGTCAAGTGGTTTTGTTGAACTCTAGTTTTACTGGATGGAAAAGACTAAATCATAGAAATATCAAATTCAGTATTAGCCTTTTGCAAGTGTATTTATAATGTGAATATTTACAGTGATCTAGGATTCCCAGCCTTGCTGAAACAAATATGGCTGTAGCAGAATAATCGAGTCCCTGACATTCTCAATGAAGAATTGCATAGAACAGAAATTTTAGGGTGCATAATCAGAACCATAGCAGACACAGAGCTCCGCAGAGTCACTTTCACCTGTCTTTGGTTTCCTGCAGGGTAAATGGGAAGCTGGTGGCTCTAAAGGTGATCAGGCTGCAGGAAGAAGAGGGGACACCTTTCACGGCCATCAGGGAAGGTAGGCACCCTGCCCTCTCTTTGATTCTGTATTTATGTGATGTTCATAGCATGGTAAGTATGCTGCATCTCCAGAGATGCTAAGCTTTACAGTTACACTGCTAAATGTCTCATTTGATTGTGTAGACTGAAATAAAAAAATTCAGTACCTTCTACAATCATACTAAGTCATATTAAGCAAGACAAGACTCTCTTTCTATATTTAGATTTGTGGGGGGGAAATTCATGGTGGGGCTATCGAGACAAGTGGAGAATATTTTTATGTCTGATTCTATTTGCAGCACTACTACAAGACCTATCTGAGTGTCATTATTCTACATTCATGATTTTTAAAGGAAATTCTTAAAAATGAAGGATTGCCCTTATCTTTTGCTCATTTGAATTTCTTTTTTTGTTGGTTTCCTTGTTTTTTTTTTCTTTTTTCCTATTTTGTGTTGTTGTTTTAATTCTCCTCTCATATATTACATTCTAATCATGGTTTTTCACACACACCCCACTCCTCCAAGTCCCTCTTCCCGACATCTCCTCTCCCCCAGACCCATTCCTCCTCTGTTCCCTTTCAGAAAACTGCAGGCCTCCCAGGGATATCAACTGAACACTGCAAAACAAGTTACTATAAGACTAGGCACAAATTCTCATATCAAGCCTAGACAAGGCAAGTCAGTAGGAGGGAAAGGGTCCCAAGAGCAGGCAGAAGAGTCAGAGACACCCCAATTCCACTGTGAGGAGTCCCACAAGAACACCAAGCTGTACAACCATAACATACATGCAGAGATCCTATCTCAGACAATTACAGTCTCTCTGATTGTCACTTTAGTCTCTGTAAGCTCCTATGAGTGAGTCCTGATTAGTTGGTTCTGTGGGCCATGTTCTCTATGGTGTCCTTGACACCTCTGGCTCCTACAGTCCCTCCCCCCTACTTCTATGGGTTTCTCTAAGTGCCACCTAATGTTTTGTTTTGGGTCTCAGCATCTGCTCCCATCAGTTACTGGACAATGCCTCTCTGATGACAATTGGGCTAGGCACCAATCTATGAGTATAGCAGAATATCATTACTAATCATTTCATTGAATTTGTGTGTGTGTGTGTGTGTGTGTGTGTGTGTGAGAGAGAGAGAGAGAGAGAGAGAGAGAGAGAGAGAGAGAGAGAGAGAGCAATCAGTTGACTGGAAATAACTAGAG